TTTCAAAAATTTTATAACGCACAGGAGCAAGCTTGAAAAACCCCATATGGTATATAAATTCTTGGCTAATTTCAAATTCGAAATATACCTAAGCATATTCATCCGTCTGTGCAACTACTGGCGAAAATGAAAGTATCGCCTACGTGTTTGCAAACAAATTTGCAAGTGACCTAAACTTTTCAAAGGACACGCCTATTCAACAAATAGAAAAAGTCAGTCGTGCCCACTTCACGCTATTGATCATGAGCGCTTAGTTCTTTTAATTTTTTTTTTTTCTTTTTTAGAATAACGGTGATGATTACAAAAGATTCGTTCACGACCCCTTATGATTTTCTTACTTGTTTTATATTAGGTTTCTTCGTATAATTTTTATTATTATTATTATTATTATTATTATTAATTTCGCCAGAGAAATAAATTCTAAGACTAAACTCTTAAAAGCACTAGCATCTAAGGCTATCGGCTTTTATTAAAAACTCTACCGCACTTGAGATTCGAACCCACGACCACGGAGTTGCTAGTCGAGACTCTTGCCTACTCGGCCACCCAGGCGGATCATATCATTTTTATTAAAAATAATTTCATGTAATTCCCGATTTTGGTAGCTTACAGGATTCCAACAACACTTAACCGGCGGATTGACATGACGTTTTGACTAAGAACATTAGTAACAGTGCACTCTTCTTTGTCACATCATTCGAAAGTTGACCAAAAATGTATTCATTAATACGTACACATATGTGTATACATTGTATTTACTACAAGTGTAGCTTGCTGCTTGATTTTACCACTTGGGTGGTGGTTGTGATAATTGAAAATAATTCCAGTAAATACACTTTTGCCTCCGATTCTCATTCTTCTTCTTCTCTACGGTATTGCATTTTTTTTTATCACTTTTTTTACGGTTCATAATTATACACAATTTCTTCCTTCGAAAAAAAACAAGAAAGTTGATGAAAAAAAAACACACACACATACATGTGCACACAAACCAGAATCAGAAGTCAGGTCTACTTGAAAATTACATGTTAAGCGTTTCTGTTACCCATAATTAGGTTGCACGAGATTACAGCATGCGCTTGATTATGCAGTCAATTTCACTTACTTATATATATATATATGTGTATATATATGGCAATAATTTTGTCGGTTTACGGTTTACCATTGTTTGTTCTTAACCATTAAATATGAACTAATTTGATAATTTACGGTTATTTAAGTCAATGCTAACCTTTCGTGTATACCGTGTAGCCTTTGTTCATATGCACATGTAATGTGGACAGAAGTTCTCTTACCAACTAAATGGGTGCTGTTTGTTCAGTAGGAATTGTTAAAGTATTGCGGTAGGTTTTAGTTTTAGGCAAAACACAAACGGTCATTGATCGATCACATTATCCGTTTTACATTATTCTTAAAGAAAACGGTTAATCTGTACATTATATACATAACTTAACTAAATAAGTTCATAGGATGATATAAAAATGTAAAATGCCTCTTGATGAAATCAGTGTTCGTATATGCGAGTGGTGGGTTTTTTGCACAATGTTTTTTTTTTTATTGCTGCAAGAAGACTTCAAATTATTGAAAGCATATTAAACAATAGGAGATCGCCATCAAAGCGGCAAAGTACGCACAAATGCGGCCAAGAGAAGGAGAAGAAGTAAGACGATAATTAACAAAAGTGGAAAGAGTACCAAGAACTAAGCAAAGTCGATTACATATGACACAGTCACGTGTTACTGAATCATCACAATAACGCAGAGCTCTACAACCTTAAGCAATTGGAATAAGAATTAGTGAATTAAGATAATCCTTATGATATAGGGCGATGAACAAATTTAGCAAGAGCGTAATCCTGTCATGTCTGCTAGAAAGAAATAAAATTGTCCATCGGTTTAGAAAAAGACGTTTCTTGAAAGAAAATGCAATCTTTAGGCTCCCCCTTGTAGAGAGACAAGAAGAAAAAAAGTCGGTTTAGTAATAACAACAGTAGTAGTAGCAGTGATGCATCCTCCGTACACCCAGGACCTTTTCCAAATACCATTCGTTCCGCTCTTTGCAAAACTATCTTGACGATTTACCGTTTAATATCAGGAAATGTGAAAAACGCTTGACTCGGTTTTTCGATCAGATATTTTTTCCATGTTCTATAATGATGCCACAATGTTTTTACCAGAAATATAGAAAAAGTATATCAATCGAAACACCACTCATGTGCTTTAATGAAAACAATATACAGTTAAAATTGCTTTTGTGTGGTACATTTTTTTGTGCGGCTCTTATTTGCGCGATTGGTTTTAGGCGACTTATCAAGTTTGTGCGGATATATATAACATCCAGAACGATTTGAGATAGACTCTCCTTTTATCATTCCGATCGATTCAGAATCATTAGTTCAATCGACTTAGTCTGTTGTTCTGTTCGTCTTTCCTTTTTTTTTTCTTACGTTCAAGCTACAGGCCGCAATTGTTCACATATAGGGATGAAATTTTATGGAGAAAGGTGTTTTGTCTCAAAGACACACAGAGCGGACTGCATGTTCGATTACTTTCCAGATATTATCTCATTTTGGAGAGTCGTTACCTGAATATCTGCAGGGCGGTATAGGGGATTTAATAGTAGGCCGTGAGCAATTTTATTTTATTTAGAAACCACAGACATGGTATTTCTTCAAACATGGATATATTTTCCAAGGGAAATTTCTTAGGGGATTCCTCTCCTACGCATTAAATAGTTTGTCTTTAATATGTTATGAGAAATCTTTTGTAATTATGAAGTTTCTGAATATAAATATATATTCTTTTCTTGGTGTTTTTTCTCTCCAACGCTCCCTGTTGACCGCTCAAGAACAGGTTTATCTGTAAATTTTCTTGAAGGTCTAATGAAAATGTATCTGAATTTCGGTTACGTGCAGACACAAAGTTACACAACCACCTGATATGTAAACCGTTTCTTATTTTTTATAAAGGTAGGCAGTGCATTCAACTAAGACATGTCTGTCCAACTGACTTTGCGTTGAAATCGCTGTTACGTCTTGAAATTATTATCCAACTGAGCAAATTTGTTTTAAGCTTACTTATGATGACTCTCTTCTTTTCATAACATCAATAACTTACTAGTTATGCATATTAAATATTAGTTTGACCTAAAACTTTGACTTTGTAAATTTGAACTCTCGTAAAAATATCAATGTCACATCACATTTTGCATTTATAATCAAGCAAATAAAATGTTGTATTACCCTGCTGTTATTCGTAGAAGGACGTTATACGGGAAGTGGTCCGATCCGAACCCTTTATAGTAGTCTTCGTCTTTTGAGAAAAACACGTCGGTATACCAAGTATTGTGGCTTGTAAGTTGAATACAAGAAAACGAGACGGGCGGATGGACAGACAAAGTTTACATCGATTCAGAGAGTAATTCCGGGTTGTTTGGTATAATAAAAACTGGATCTATCCCAAATCCTTATGGGTATTGCAAATATCCACGCACACCCTGTAGCACAAATGATGTAAGCTATAAAAAAAGAGAATAAATCATAGAAAAGAAATATATTTTTACGAAAGAAAACTACGTGATGATCGGCCGTCTGCTTATCTTATTGTATAAGAAATATTAAAAAAAAAACAAACATTATGCTAACAGCATGTAAAAGACTTTTCATGTACTAGATTGTAGCTGTGAGAGATGTGAGGGCGCACTGAAGATACGCATAACTTGCGCTAAGACACCCTTAATAAAACAATATGTTCGTCTTATTTGTCGACCTTGATGAGCTCTTCTTCTTTAACCGTTTTTTTTATAATAACACAACTGTGTATTAAAAGTATTAAACAATTTCTACCGCATTTCATATTTTTTCGGATTATTTGATTAAACGCATTCAAAAAACTGTGTAGAAAATATGAAAATCAAGCATCAATTAAGACATGAAACATTTATAGCGATACATGTGTATGTTTCCATGTCTATTTGTATATGTAAGCGTCATCGATCATCTTATCAATGCCGACTATGATTAAAAGCTTAAACCACACTAGAGAGACAAACGGCTGGTCATCTCCTAACATACACATGACTGCAGTAAACACACTTCCCGCTAAGGGATCAGTGTACGATAAATCAAAAATCTTCTTCCAAGTGTCATGGCAATGGTACAAATTATAGCGGTCTCTATCCACGCCCTATAGAATGTCTTTTAAGCATTTAGAAAGACAGCGCTTATTGAAATTCTTATATCAACCTTTCTTATTAATTTTTTATTTTCTGTTCTTTCTTTAATATATTTTCCCTAATGCTTTTTGCTTTATGGGAGTCACAATTTATTAAATGCCGGTCTTCTCGTTGTTTTATATTCGTATTGTGTGCGGCCTTGATAAATGATTAACAATATTATTTGATCCGTTCACGCCCTCGTTGCTCTTTTTTCTATCTCCAGAAAATTCGTGGAATAAATTTTTTTTTTATTTGTTTTTGTTTTATATATATATATATATATACAAAGGTTTGTTTATATCACTTCCGGCTGAAAGGAAACAATTAATTAATTTGATTCCTTTGTTACACCAAAAATGTGGATATACGCACATACATATAGGTATTATCAGAACAAATTGATCATTGGGGTCATTTATTACTAAATATTTAATGATAAATTTGTTTTTTTGTTTTTATCTGTGCTATTCAACCAGTTATTTAACCCTAATTAAGTAAACGGTAGCTTTTTGTTGGTTTCCTCGAAAAATATAATAATTGATCATATTCACACAATTAACGTTAACTTTATAACTCGAGTGGGATGCTTGATTGATTACGTTTGCTTAACTGGAGGTATCGGTTGTAGATTTTCTTTTTTTTTTTTAACGATTTATCGCGTCCTTGGTTTATAGCCCTAATATGCGTGTAACGCTACTTTCTTTTTTTTTTTTACTTAAAATAACTAAGCGATGGAAACAATAATAGAAAATAGATTGCAGAAAGATTTCCCGGGAACTCTAAATATCACTTCACTCTTAGGAAAATACTGTTCAGGAGATAACCTATTCAGCTTGTCTAAGGCGGGCTAGACGTTGAGTGAGTTCGTCCTGTTCTTGAGACACCTGAGTGGCTGTACCAACGGCTGAACTTTGCACACCGCTAGGCAGTTCCATATTTAATTCCAATCCTGCTTCGTCCGCTACTCGCTGTAGCAAATTGTCAACATCGCCTTGTGGCACTGAAGTTGTTGTTGTATCCGACATTGTGTTTTCCATTACCGAACTTTGTACATCTAAATCCTCAAATTGAGATTCGAATTTCTCCATCAGAGAAGAGATTTTCTCTAAGTTCATACCCTTCATGGCAGCGTCCATGGCCTTAACCACGCCTGCCATAGAACTAGTAAATTTGCGCGTAGTTAGCGCGGATTGTACTCTACTAGCCACTGCGCCCACTCTTGCACTCATACGTAGATAATTAACAGCTTGATTTTTTTGGCGTATAGCATTTTCGGCATGAATCCTAGCCACATCCATGTTACCCTTCTGTATAGCTTTGTTCGCTTTGGCTTTCTCTAATTTTTCTTCTTTTTCACATCGTTTACTATTGCGTTCAAGTTCTTTCACCGCGAATTTTAGATTGAATAGATGTTTTTCCATAGCAGACATAGACATGTCGTTCCCCATATTGTTTCGCTTGCTTGTTTCCCAAAGTAAGATTTTTCCTTTCCCCTGTGTTTTATTTTTACAAATGACAAAAATTTTGTTTTACCTTCCAAGCTCTTTATAATTTTAAGTCAATCTATGTTGCGCTTAGTTTTTCTTCTTTTGTATGATTCACATATACTGCTTTTGCATAAAAATAACGTCATATCTTTAAAGCATACATAACTAATTAACAAACACAGTATTATATCTTCACGAATTATATAATTGCGATCCTATATATAGCTTGCAGCAACTTATTGTATAACCACATTACTAACTGACTGGTCAAAAAGAAATTTAGAGTTTCTTTAACGTATTACAATGGTTTCCGCCTGACTAGCGAAAGCCGAGGAATCTCGACTAGCAAGTCAATGGTCGTGGGTTCGAATCTCAAGTGCGGTAGAGTCTTTAATAATAAAAGCCGATAGCCTTAGATGCTAGTGCTTTTAAGAGTTTAGTCTTAGAATTTATTTCTCTGGCGAAATTAATAATAATAATAATAATAATAATATACAATGGTTTCCATATAAAAATTCCGTGCATTGCAAAGCAGAAGTAAATGTTTAAGCACTAACACAATCTTATCTTATAACATCGATCGATCATTAGAGTGAGCATAAGCATTTATATCGCGCTCTCATCCGGTGACTTGCTCTTTACGAACTAAAACTATTCTCAATTTAGTTCACTTTACAACTGTAATAACTGACCTGCTCTGTTACACTAGTTATTTACCGCTGCTATAGTTCAATATAACAGATTTTTTATTCGTTAACTCTGTTAGCTCGCAGTTAAGATTTTCGAATATACATGAAAAGGTGAAATATTTATGTTATGTTAAATAATTTCATTTATGTCCGCTCTCGTCTGTAATAATTCTGTGCTGTGATGTGCGCGTACTTGAGTGCGCAACTCTTAAGCGCGTCGAAAGGCACTTCTCTCAGTTGCGGCTACTTAAGTGTACATTGTGAAGACATCGCCAAGTTCTTTCTTCTAAGCCTTTTATTCATTAGTAGGAAATCCGTTACATTGCTGCAAAAAACCGTCAATTTGACGGTTCATTTTTCTAGAGTCGCATCTCGTTTTGGGGACAGAGAGACAGGGAGACTTAATCTTATTCGAAAATTAAATAATTAATTTCAACTGAAATCGGATAGTTGACTGGCAACGCTACCGATCCCACAAAAGGTTTGATTTCCATTTTGTTTTTCTTCTGATTGCAGCTCTTGACCTGAGCAGATGTGTGGTCGTCTCCATCCGTGGATATTAGTAACCGCTACTCTTAAAATGTGTAGGCAAACAGATACACTGCGGATTGAGTATGAACTAACGTGAATTTATGATAAACTGAAATAAATATAAAAAAAGTATCGTCTATCAACGAGCGAGATTAACAACCTGAAAATAAAACCAATGTTGCAAGTCCCCAAAAAATTCTTCACAAACATCATACGATGTAACTCTATTGGACTTAAATGTTATGTTCCAGTTTGGCTATCTTACTCCAATAAAACATGAACTCGCAATGACCTTATTCATCGAGATTATTCGGGTTATTAGTGAAAAACTAACACATCTATATGTGGACAAGTGGCAACCATTGGTGTTCTAGGATTGAACTTTCGCCATTTGCATGAAAAATTAAAAGAAAGAAGAACTAAACTAAACTAAATTTTCATGCTCTATAGTATGGAGTGGGCGCGGCTGATTTTTTCTATTTGTCAAAGAGACTTGTGGATATTGTAGGCGAGTTCTTTGAAAAGTTTATGTCGCTTCCAAATTTTTTTGCAAATTTGTGGACGACATTTGCATTTTCGCTAAAAGGAGAATGTCTACCGCATGTACTACACACTTGCACAGACGGATGGACATGCTTAGAAACATTGCGAATCTGAAACTGGGCAAGAATTTATATACCTTACGGGGTTTTTCAAGCTGGCTCATGTGCTTTATAAAGCTTTTGAAAAACAAGTAAAACTATAACACCCTACGAAATTGAGTAGGCGCGGCCGACTTTTTCCATTTTTGCAGAAGTACTACAGCATTGCCCGTCGAATATATGTTTACATTTTTGTAGACTTATGTGCTGCAGTCTATGAGTAATGAGAAAAAAACAATTTCTTATTCCTTTTGAAAAACAGAGGTGGTGTTGCGGGCGTATCCTTCCGCCAAATTGGCCCATTTTCAATACCAACTTGCGAGCAAGAAACCTGTCCAAAAATTCCAACTGCCGAAATTAAAGAGATTGCAACAAACATTACACAGACAGACCGACGGACAGACGGATGTAGATCATGAATATATACATATCGTAGGGTGTTTGATGCTTCTTTGCAAACGTTTGGACATAGCGAATATACCTTTCATCCGGCGATGATGAATATAATCAAAGATAATTTATATCGATATCTTCTGCCGTTTAATTCTTGATATGAATAAAAAAAAAAAATAAAAAAAACATCTACTTGACGACCCTATGTATGCCGATGATTTGATGTCAAATTTTATTTTATATAGTTTTTCGTTTTTTAATTTTAATTCGTTTTATTTCAATTTTCTTATTCAATTCTTATTTTATTTTTTCTTTAATTTATTATAAAGCAAAAAAATTTCTTTTTAAAAATAATTTTTTTCATAAACTGGGAAACAACAGCACTATAAAAATGTAAATATAAAAAAAAAAAATTTTTTTAACACAATTTAATTTAATATAAGATATATGCAAAGAAGGCTGTAATTGTGAGTTTTTGAACTAAGCTTAGGCCGAGTCCTTCCTTCCTTCCCATATTGTATCAATAAAAAAAATTGTAAAAATGGAAAAAACAAAGATACTAAAAAGCCTCTAAGAAAAATTTAAAAAAAAAATGAATAAATGAAACTTTTCAAACCAATTGCAAAACGTATGTAAACTTATGGCCAACGGCGGCAAAAACAAAACATTCGCCTTAGGTTGAAATTGTTGGCCTTATATGTGGTGTTTTTTTTCCCCCTTTCGGAATTATTCTCCCGGCAACGTGTAAAATGTTTCAAGGACATTCCATAACATATTGTATTCTCCTTGAATATTTTAATTCTTTTCACTTTGACATGACAGATCAATTACCCGTCAAATCTTCTTCTTAATAACAATAATGTAAATAAAACTTAAGTTGTAAAAAATTAACCAATTTTTATTGATTTTATAGCTGGTCGAACGTTTGCCTGAATATTGAAGAAAAATAATAATTTTACGAAAAGAAAGCAAAGGCTTAGACTATGCTCATCATTTCCTTGCGGGACGACCCCTTTAGAAGATCTGTTTGCATGCTTAAGTCCTGAGCTAGTACTAGTAGTGGGAGAAACTTGACGCTTATATGTGGATGATAGTGTACGTATCTGCGCCATAGACAAAGCTGCAGTAAAATCTTCTTGGAATTGATCCGTTCTTGCATTGGTTGATAAAGGAAAGGTGACATCGATTACCGTCTCTCCTGCTCCATTATTACTAGCCGTTTCGGGTAATGGAGTTTCTACAATCATTTCCTCTTCTTATACTCGTTTATCTTCTTCGCCCGCTTTAAACGCTATTTAAAAAATCGTAGAAAGATTACGCGTAATATTAGCCTTAGGAGGAGAGTTCGTAAATAATTAAAGCCAATTGCAATTGATTATCTTTGATGCAACGGCTACACGAAATGCGTAAACGGGTTACTCGTTGGATTCGTTGAGCTGTAAATGAAGCTGAAGTTAATGAATAAAAACGAATAAGGCCTTCAACTTCAGCGTTGGAAGAATAATCCTGCAATAACCGCGGGAGACAAGCTCGCTCGCTAGTAGACGGCACCTTTGGTAATATTTCAGTTATTGCTTCTGGGTTAACAGTTTCGAGTTCATCGTCTGCGACACGGGCCGGAGGTGTTCGCTCCTCAATCAGACTTTTCGTTTCGTCTCGACGCCCATTATCTTCAACATCACTATGTTCATAAGATTTAATTGTAACCATATCACGTAACCAATTAGTTGGATGTACATGATCAGTGAGTTTATTGGTGATGACTTTTGTTCCACTACGACTGTGCTTCGTTTCAATTGGCGGATAACTTCACAGTTGCAAAAATTCGATATGTTCATAATGATTGCTAACTTCATGCCTTAAGAAATTGTGGATTTTATTAACGCCACATATGATTCGTCCGTACCAGTCAAAAGCACTATTGGGAGCAAAGTGATTCTTGAAATCGAAAGCGTTTTGCTGAAACAGTTTCAAATATCTGGCCAACACTTCAGAGATTTCATTTGATGATGCGACAGCTTCCATTCACCTTTAATGGATATTACAGTTAGACTTTAAAATTGCAAGATTTGGAAGTCTCAACTCACTCGATTGAAAAGAACTTGCTGATATCAAATAAATAATAGTTTTTGGATTATTGACCGCTGAAGTACACCTCCTCTCAAATAATCAGTCAATTCTCTCTTTTGACAAGTAATAGCGGAAAGATGACAGATAAATCGAATGCCATTAAGAAAGGAGATAAAACAGTAAAGAATCATTTTATATATATTTTATGGAATCATTCTGTGCGTTGTAAATATATGGAAAACGTAAAAGTTCAAATAAACGACAGCAAATATTGGATTAGATGCAGTGGCTGATTATACTTTTCATTTTAAATATTTCTTATAATTTTACGGGACCGATTGATTTAATCGGTTTTTCCAAGCAACATCACTTGTGGTACAACAGTTTAACGGTATACAACACCTGGAGGATTCATTAATGTACCCACCTTTTATTAATCTAAGCTTGTCTGTTCGTCTGTCCGTGTTGATCTCTTGTATGTTACAAGCCACGAATTTCTAAAATATTTCGACGAAGTTTTTTACACCGACATATGTTGGCCCAAAGTCAAACGCTATTGCAATGGTTTAAATCGGATCACTTTCTCGACGACTTCCCATATAAAGATTTTTTTGAAAAGTCGTTATATAAGTAACTG